TAGAAGTTTAGGGTGCCGATGGTTGGTATCGAAGTACTGTTGATAGTCCGTAAAGTGGGTGAACTTTGCAAGGACACAGAGTAGGTAATGGTAGTAGAGGTAAAAAGCCACAAGTACTTGGCCGTGGCCTAGGTGTAAGTTACCGAAAATCTAAATAATACATGTATAGGACATGAACCACACTGATAGGTTTATCACAAGAATAAAGGACCCCCTATATGGTAATGTGTGTCCGCTTTAAAGTCCTAAGGAGCTTACATGGCAGTTCCTCTTTAAGGAGAATATCCCGATGGTGCTAAGTTGATCAGAGGGTTTAATTGGATAACTCAAGTAATAGTGGGTTACAGATATGACATCTAGTGTAATTCATATAGGTTACATATGCAAGACTGCTTAAATAGACAACCAAAAGTTGTACATATAGCTAAAATGTATCCTCATTAATGTAACAAAGGCAGGGTAGCCCATGTGGTTGCCCTGGCATTCAAACCAAAGTTCAATAAAACGTGCCAGACCCCACAGTGGTTACTTTAACATTAAAAAAAAAAAAAAAAAAAATTTTAAACAAATTTTGTTGCTTGCTATATTTGTATCTAACAAACAAAAACAATGTTAATAACAAGAATATCTTAATAGAGTTTAGTTTTATTATTGAAAAATCCATCTTATAAAAAAACTACAAGTTTTATACTATTAAGTTTAAAAATATATTTTATAAGATTATATACAAATCAACATAGTTTGTCTCTATAAACAATTACAACTTTTTGCAACTATTTTGTGATTTGCTTGTTTCAATATAGTGTACAAACCAGGTTTCTTGAAGTTGATACCACTTCTGATTTCTGAGATAAGCTCATGTTGAAAAAACTTAGTAAAGAGAAACTCTTGTTGCTATTCAAAATCTACCTTCTGCTTTAAAGTTAAAACTCATGCATAGACATAATTTTTTTTGATATAGAGAAGGAGAAGGAGAAAGAGGTAATGGCGAAGCCCACGATATTTGAAACATATAAAGTCGCACACCACCTGGTGAATGAGCTGCCGCAATTTTACTTTTGCAAAGGTAAATTGCAACATTTCATTCACCAGGTGGTGTGTGCCTTTACGATGTTTCAAATATCACGATGCCTGCGACCAAGTGTACACAAGGAAACACCAAGAGTGGAAAAAGCCTGGGTGGCAGTAAGAAACATTAAATAAAATTAATTCGTGAAAAATTTTAAAGATCGAAATAGAAATTTAACGATTTTAAACCTTTATCGTTATATAGAAAGCGAAGACTAGTCATGATTGGTCAGAGAATTTACTAGTCACGTGCGTGAAAATAAGTTGCGTAAGCGCAATGCGTAAGCATACTGATCAAATTACTTTTTTGACGCAAATATATATGTATCATTGTACATACGTTATTTACCTGATGAAAACCTTTGAGGTTTAAAAGTTTATTAATTATAATGTCGATGTCTTTTAGAGATGAAGATTCGTGGACTCCCTTTGAAAAACTTTTACTTGTACAGCTGGCTTATAAATACCAAGACAACTGGCAGTTAGTAGTTCGAAATATTAAGAGTAACACAATGATCTCTCATCCACCGGAGTTTTTTCACTCAAAAGGTTTTTTTTTTTTTTTGTTATATACTGAATTAGATTTAGCACTTTGATCTACTTAACAACAGTAAGCTTTTATCGTTGTTATTTGTTATTAACACTTGATCACCTTATTTTCAAAATAGAACTGTTCTAGCAAATATAGAGCCCTTATTGAGCCATATGAAAGAGATGAAATTGAAAAGTATGTTTCATAAGGCTGAAATGAGATCTATTTAGACTAGATTACCTAGTATAGTTCGGAAGACATACCTACCAGTGGTGGGTTGTAAAAGGAAATAGTGAATAAAAATAAAACATGATCGGTGTTGTCAACTAGACCAATGCTGGACTTAGTAATTTTATAAGTCTTATATATGGTTCAGCCAAGTAACTTATGGCTACTTGACATGGTAGAGGGATAATACTGATCATGGTATTTGTTCATCATTAACAAGAATAGATTTCAATAATATGTCAATAATTATACAATTTTTTATATAATTCAAATTTATTAATGGAAAAAAAAAATAAAACGAAATTTTAGTGAGAATAAAAAGAAGTTAGGAGACATTTCTGCTTCGTTAAATGGTTTGATTAAAGTCTTCTTTAGATTTTTTCGTTTTTCAATCGTATACATTAGTGGAGTTTGAAATTCACCATTTTTTGTCGAAACATATATTATCAGACGAACATCGCATGCCACCAGCTGCGAAATTGGCCCGAAAACTTTACCAAGATCGTATTCATGAATTAAGATCTCAGGTTTCGTCAACCGAACAAAAACTTCGGTAAACAATTGCGTACATATTGATACAGGCATTCAGTTTTTCACAATTTGCTATGAAATGTTTCCAGTGACACACTTTTTTTCTCAAATGTGCAAAGGAACATCTTCACCGAAATTGAAGAGATTAAGGCCGGAAAATACGATGATAAATTGGCAGAAATATTGAAAACGGAAGATGAACAAAAAAGTCAAGACCATTCCCTAAAAGAACGGTTTTCGGAACGACAAGAGGAGGAAAATCCAGATACATATGATGAAATTGTAGAAGAAACGGTACTTGTATCTTCTGCAAATATTTCAGATCATGCAGGTAGATCATCGACTCAACCTAATATTGTTGATAATAATAATGATGGCTCGATGGTTATTGAAGTGCCAGATGTGTCAGAAGCAAGTTCGGATAAACGAACAAAGAATGCTAATGAAGAGAAAAAAATAGGAATGCCTTTTACGGATAAGAAATTAGAATTAAATAATGAAAGCGATAAATCGCTAAATATGAACGATAGAGAAGGTGCACAGGTATTAGAAACCACAGGGAAAACAGAATCAATAATTTTTGATTCTACAGAGGAAAACGAAGTTGATCAAAAATCAAAATTGATACATGCAACAGAAGAATCCTTTACAACAATTAGAACACCATCAACGCCACTTACGGAATCAAACGAGCCTAAATACGATGAACAAATTGAACAATCATCAGAAGTACAAATGAACACGGAAATTATGGAAGAGGACATTCTAAATGATTCACAAAAGTCAACAGATCAAGATGTTGACATGATGGATATTGATGTGAAAATAAAAGATAAGATTGAAGAACCAATACTTTCACAACTTCAAGTAACTACGACAGATTTACCTAAGCATGATCAAATAAAAAGGCTTACCAAGGAAAATATCTCACCCATAGATTCCGAGGATACACCGCGTGAGGATACCACTATGGATGTAGATGAGTCAACAACTGAAGTGTCAAACTCTCAGGATTTGAAAGAAAATCCACTGCATGTTCGCTTTTCTGGTAATAATTATGTAACTTCACCAATACCGATTATCGAAGCGAAAAAACTTGACATTTTCGAACCAACTGGAACAGATGGGGGATCAGATGGGGGAGAGTCAGATGGAGCTGTTGGATCGCCTGATGAACAAGCATATGTTAATGAATCAGATAATGATAAAGTATCTATAACGGAAATTGATGTCCGGGACAATAGACAAAATCTAACATTGGATACGATCAAAAGTGAAGGATCCTCAGATACTACAGAACCAGCAGGATCAATTGGCGAAGAAGAAGCTGTTGAATTAGAAGCAGGAACTGCCAAGACAGATATGTCAGAAATTAAGGATGAAACTATTTATGACGATAATATACAAATGGCAGATTCGCAATCACTCAATGAAGAAAACGAAGAAATGAGGTCAACAACCTCACAAGCTGAATCTAAAGAGCAACTCACACCATCAGCAACAACATCCACACATCACATGGATACGATTACAAATTCCAGTCCAGGAGACGGTAAGAATTCACATCTTTCCAAGAGGAGGCTAATTTTTTCAGAACTAAAAAAGTTTATCTTTACAAATAAACAGCTCATGAAAACGAGACTATTTCAGGAACCGACGCATCTGGTATATATGATTTTTTTATGTTTCTTTTGAAATAGAAATTATTTAACATTTACCTTAAATTACAGAAAACGACAAAAAGCAAAAGACTTGGTTAAAACTAGCGATGATGATGCTACATGAAATTGGCAATCATAAATTTGCGAGTGTCTTCCAAAATCCAATCAAAGAACAAGATGCACCGGGGTATTACAGTATTGTCAAACAACCTATGGATTTGAAAACTTTAAAGAAACGTTTGCGTGATGGAGTATGTAAATTTCTTTTTGCTTTAAATTGAAAATCAAATCCACAATGTAGTTTTTTTAAAAAAAATAAAATAAAATAAAATAAATGAAACTTGTGGAATCAATTTTAATTTAAAATCAAATTAATAGAGTGATAACCTTTGAATATAAAGATTCAAACAATAATATAAAAAATTAAATATATATATGTATATATTTTAGGTTATTCAAGATACCGATCAGTTTCATCGGGATCTTCTGCTAATGTTTATGAATGCATCCGTATTTAATCGAGAAGGAGATATTAATAAGATGGCATCACAAATGAAAGAACACGCCGAGAATCTAATTCAAGGATTTAGAAGTGACGGTTCAGTAGGAATACATGAACCTGCAACACGGAGAAAGAGTATGGCCTTTGAAGGTATGTAATCGATTGTTTTCTTTTGTGATGAATTTAGTTTCAAACATCATAAGAATTCCCTTTGATTATAGCAAAAGAAGCGATAATACCTCCAAAAGATGACCGACGGAACTCAACAGATAAATCTGGTATGGGTTCTTCACGCCACGTGGCTACATCCCAATCACCAGTTGAGACATCTGAACAACGTCCGAACAAGAGGAAGCGACGTTTAACAACGTCACAAAAATAATTTTGAATATATCAAATAGTTCCTTTATTTTTGACGTTGGATAATCATCGTGCTAATTATAAAATAAACTATTAATGGTGCTAAAACTGAAATTTATAACCTGAAATCTTTATATATATATATAAAGAATTTGAATTATCCAAATATAAAAAGTAAAGACCCGAAAAGAAAATAAAGTTAATCATTATTATTAATATATAATTGATAATCATTGATTAAATCGAATATATAAGACCTTTCATCTAATATTTTTAATGATGTCGACAGAAGGTTTATGAATGTTTACGAACTAAAATGTTTTTATTTCCTTGCTAAAGAATTTTCCAAACCAAACTTTCAAGCGAATTTTCATTCTTTTGTTGGACAGTTTTTTCTAACAATTAAAATTTCAGTGCTGACAAATGTCAGCACTAATTACGTGAATCATACGCTTATCTAAATTATATTGATCTTAACGTTAATGTATTCTTGTGACAAGTTAAACCATCTAACTTACAAATAGAACTTTGCGAATTGCTATTAAAGTCCAATTTTGTCAATTCTCGAATTCTCTCGATGATAGAATATTTTATGTTCACTAAATATGTTACGTATTAATAATACATACTAATTTCACATTAACGTTAATACTTATAAAGAATGGATAAGAATTCTCCGAGTATCGTGTATTAAAAAAAAAAAAAACTTTGGAAAGAGAATCAATTTACTAAAGAAACAGATTTTATTTTTTTTTTAAAAAAAAAAACACTGAATTTATTGAATTCAATTTACTAAAGAAACAGATTTTTTTTTTTTTAAAAAAAAAAAAGCACTGAATTTATTGAATTCATTGCATTCATAACAGACCTTATTTCAGACCTCATATCGGTTGATTTTAATAAGGAAAACCAATCCTCCCAGATTAAGGTGCGTCAATTATAAATAATTTCATATGCCTAATGAGATGCATCACTGAAGAGATTGGATTTCCTTATCAAAAATCAGTCGATATGTAAAAGAAATTGATGGAAAGATTTTCATGTCACTTATATCACTCTTTATTAATAATTGTCACCTGTACGATTTTATCACATTAATGACTCATTCTCGTATTTTGTTTTCTTTGTCAAAGCGTGGGAAGCAACCCCAAAATAGTGACATGGGCGTTTTAAAAATTTTTAGATAATCGGGTAACTTCCATATCATAAAAGTGACATGATAGAGTATCTAAAAAAGAAGTCACTATGTAGGAAACAATGTACTAAAAAAAGCGAAGGATACAAAAAAGTAGGCGGATGCATGCTTCAGTAACGTCATACGATCCTCTTATGACAAATTTTTTTGATACAATTTCATGTTCACAACTTGTACTCAATTTACATTTAACCTTTATTGGTCGCTGCGGATCAACAGACTAATTAGTGTCCCCGTGCACATTTTTAAACAAACAAATCCATCATTTCATTTGTCACCTTTTTTTTGTCCAATCATCATTTGTTCCAGGGATCTAAGATCACATGATTCCACAAAAATTTGACTTCTTAAAGTTCATTGGTCGATAAGTGAAGATAAGGTTAACGTAATATATCTCATAAAAAAAAAAAAATTTTTTTTTTTTGTACTTTATAAAAAGGCCTTTTAAGTATAAAAAATTTCAAGCCCAAGAATTATTTTTTGTTGGCAATTTTTCAAATCATTATCGTTTTTTCATCATAAAATTTTTTACCCTTGTAATTTTTATACTTCTTTTTTTCCGTTAACATTATTTCCTTTCTTCCTTTTACCTCATTTTGATCTCTTTAGAATCCTATTTTGACTTGCACGGAAACTTTTACCTCGCTGCGCTTGGTGAAACCGTTTTAGTACAAAGCAAAATTTTTTTTGTGCCATATAAAAACCGAAACTTTTTTTTCTTATCAACCTTCCTAAGAACTTTTCTCAACGTAAAACTATGAATTCCTTCACCGTTAATACTGAAACAAAACCTACTGAAACTGTTCAATACTTTCCTTCCGTGGGTGAACCAGTTATTGGTCACACTGACGGAAGGTTCCCACAACTTTCCTTAGGTTTGAAGGAGGTTTTATTCATAACTTTTATCAAATCATACAGATTACTAAAATTTACCTTCATATAGATGAACAAACCGGTCAGGCTGTTGAAAAGTCCCAACGCCTAGCGGTAAAGGAAGAAGAGAGTGCACAAAGCGCTTCTTCTGACGACCAAAAAGAGCACAGTCCTACACCCTCAGCTTCCAAAACAACTTACACTTGCCACGTTTGTGGTAAGAGGTATAAGCATAGAAATTGTTTGGTTAAAGTATGTTCTAATTCTAACTATTATCCTTTCAAACTATATACAACCATATAGCGCACCATAAAGTACCTCCATTGAAAAGTACCCTCATACAATAGTACCCGGGTATTATTATATCAGTCGCATGGTCCTGAAAATCCATATATACCCGGGTACTATATATATATCATTACGACATTAAAGTAAGAATTTCTTTCTATCCGGGATCGATCGATAACACCTACTACCATACATAATACCCCCCATAAATAGTACCCACAATACCGGAGGGGGTATTATTTTTGGTTAATACAAGTTTCCTGGTATACACCCGGGGTACTTTATGGAGGCGCTATACGGTATTTACCAACCCTTTATTTACTACTGTATTGTTCAAAAAATGTTATAACTTTTTTTTTTTTTTTTCTCTCACTTTATAGCACCTATGGGAACATCACGAGAGCTGGGATCTGTGTCTCAAATTCAACTTAACCAAGCATCAGCAAGTTCAAATGATGGAGGTTAGTTTACTATTATATATAATTAATTATTATAATGAATTATCATAATGAATTATAATGAATTATTATAATGATTGGTATAATGATTGGTATAATGAATGATATTAACACTAATATCTTTCTTATAACTTTAGGCAGCGCAAATCCTCGTTGATCTTGCTTGTATAAAACAACATTAATCATCATCCCCTTTCCCTTGTACCTTTACCCTTGTATATTTACCCTCTCTTATATAGTGCCCTACTAAAAGTCATGGATTTTTATGATAACAAATAAGTTATTTTTTTTTTTAAAGACTTAATAGGGCTACTCTTAAATTGTTTTTTAATTTGTATCATGTCAAATATTACCACCCAGAAATTATGTTCTAATAGAAACTTCATTTAAATTTATACATTATATTGGCGATATCAACCATATATAAGGTATATAATACTTTTGTATATTTGCCCACTTATAAGATTCAGCAAATTAATTCATGTTTTGAATATATAAATAAATTTTCTTGATTTATATACTTTATATTTAATTTTTTTTAAAAAAAAAATTAAAAGTACCATATTAGAAGATTTGAGTTAAAGTGGTAAAAACAAGGTAGATTTTGAGGTTGACTAAAGTTATTTTAAACTCGGGATTTAATCACGATAAATCATTAAGAATTATTGCTTTATTGTGATTAAATAAAAATGAACAGAAACAGTTTTTAATTCTAATCTTAATGACGATATGATTTCAACCAATTGGAAGCATGTTATTTGGAGCAACGAATCTAAATTTAACCTGTTTCATAACGTAGACGTTCAAATCAACTCATAATACGCGCCACGTAATGCAAAAAGATAACGTATTTTAATGCATCAATGCGATTACTATAATAAGGCGCGAGTTAATCATTATAATTATTTCTCGAACAATTTCATCTAGCATTGCACAACTAATACGCATATACTTCATTTTCGTTTTTCGGTTGTTTCATATCAATACATACAATATATACAATATATTCAATATATACAATATATACAATATCAGATATATACATTGCCACAATATATATTCTCTTTTTAACCCTTTATATTTTTTTTCAACAACATAATTAAAACATTTATATTTTTTTAGTCTGGTCTAGTGAATCTTACAGCCTTTTCTTTTCTTTCGGACTTTGTATATAAAATAAATAATTTATCAGTAAAATTTTTTACGAGATGGGAAAATTTTTTCGAGTTTGGGAAAATTTTATCATGTGAGCATAAACAATAACCAAATATGGATGTAAGTTTGATTAGGGGCATATTAAATTGCCGAATATGCTATAATTCTTACAAATAAAATAATTCGGTCCGTATATAACGATAATTGTTAAATTTTAAATTCATTGTGTTAAAAATTTTTAGTCTAACCATAAAATTGATTTTAGACTTTTTTTTTTTTTGAAAAAAAAACGTACGTACGTAACGTAACGTACTTATTTTCTTTCTATTGTTTATTCAATGCTAAATAAATAAAATTAAATTAAAGATAAATCTCACGACAAAATAAGAGAATAAGGAATTTATAAAAGAGGAATTCTATAAATGAAAAAAAAAGGGGGGAGAAAGTTTGAGATAATTGGTTGGGTCATTGACTGGATCACGAGTCATGATTGAGCTGGTAAGTAAGTGACACAAAGTTTATAAGAAACTCCGGTTGTATATCGAATATCGCTGTAAGACTTTCATATTATTGGCTAATTTATATCGATCAAAACGTGATCATAGACCAATCAAATCAATCAAACAAATCAACATCTAATTAATTAATATTTATAACATATCGATATTCTATTCTATTCTCGGTTATCGTAATTTCTACTAAGTAAGACTCGTTACGTATTCCATATTATTAATACGTAATGAAATTAAATTATCCAAATTTATCAATTAGCAAAATTAATATTAAGTTTATTATACGTAATAATCAAAACACTTATACGTATATGGTTAATATAGCTATTAATAGTAACTATTAGTAGTACATAGTAATTAATCAGTTTGAATTCTTCTTGGTTCTTTTCGCATAGTAGATATTAACGTCCTTTCGAAGCTAAAAAGAAAAAGAAATGTTTTTTTTTGCTTTAGTCTTAGTGAAACGTTACATTCTCAAAAAAGTACTTTAAGCTGTATAAATAAGTTACTCGGTTACTCGGTAATTAATTACATTAGTAAAATCATACGTATGAAAGTTCTATTAGTTGTACGTAATACAATATGCATTAGTTTAAAAAAAGAACGATAACAATCGATAATGATAATGATAATAAAATTATCGTTTTCTCGATTTTTTAACTGTCATCACGATTAGTGATATAATTAAAGAAGATCGACTAATCCCAATTTTTTCGGCCAGGTCAATCAAAAATGGTTGTCGGTATCTAAAAAAAATTTATACAAATTTATCAGCGTGGTCGGTAGTAAATTTTTAATTGATCAAAAGTAGCTAATCAGCTAATCATGATTCTTAGTTACTTAATACGTCATCCACAGGAAGAAAAAAAACAAAAAAATATCGTTCTTAAACACTATTGTTATTCTTACACTTTCTTACACCTTTACTACGATTCAAAAATAAAATAAATATATATTACTTTTTTTTCTTTAATCTTACGCGAATAATTTTAAAATGGTCAGGCAACGCTCTAATAATGGAACCGCCGTCTCGACCACAAAAAGAACTTTAAAACCTACAACCCAATCTAGCTCTTCTGCTCAAGCTGGTATCTATTATTTTATTTATTATTATTTATTAAAATTTATTGATGATTTACACTTATGTATATATATTTGGATCATAGGTCCACGTGGACGAAAGTCGAATGTTGGCGCAGCATCGTCCACAAAGAAATCAATTACCAACGGGAAATCTCGCTCAAAAAAGATTACTAAAAATGATTCACAGAGGAAGCGTGAAAAACCAGATTCTGGGGATGAATTTTACCAGAGCGATGATACTCGAGATGATATTGATGTTGACGATAATGTCACTATAAACACTATTTCTAATGACGGGTTGGTTTTTTTAAAAAAAAAATTCAAGGATGGATTATATCAAGGATGGGTTATACAATAGATTATACACTGAAAGGTTTAAGAATTCAATCTAGAAAGTTTTACAAAAGTTTTGTAATTTAATTGGCAACAAACTTTTTTGATTTTAAACCTTCAGAGGTATACTCTATATCTATATTTAAATACTTTAAATGTTAACCGTTAATTTATCAATTATTTTGATAAGGAGTCATGACATGGAGGATTTGATCGGGCTTCTTCAAAGTAAGTGTTTTTTTTTTTAATACTTAATTTATTTTCGGTCAATATAAAATGCTAAATCACATGACAAATAACCGTCCGTTTACAGCTAGAACTAGCAAAAAATCTAATTCTCGTTTTACCAAATTCGAAAGAGAACAAGAAACAAGATTACAGGAAGCAATGGAATTAATAAACGGCGAAAACGGTGTCGTCAATGTTTGGGTTTCCGAAATGTAAGTCCTTTACTATCATAGGGTCAAACGTAATTTCTTATCAAAATAGCCACCTTTACATTTTTTTTTTTTTTATACAGGAAAAATATCGCTTTGTCTGTAATGACAAAAATGGATGAAAAATTAAATAATGATAGTACTTGTATTAAAAACTTAAAACTTGAATTTGAAAAATATCAGGTATATATAAATTTGCATTTGTTGAAAAGACTGATAAATTCATTGTAATTTCAGTAAACACTTACTTTAAAAAAGTCTGTTACAACTGAAACGTTAGATCACTTGGCAAAAATCCACACACAGTCTCAAAGATTCCGCCGTGAATTAGATAACGAATTGAAGCGACTTTGTAATAATAATTATCTACCTTTTTTCTCTATTTGTATTTATTATGAAATAAGTAAATCTTATCTTTCATTTTAGACACTACTGATGAAGCAGAATTAAACGAATCTTTAGATCATTTTATAAAAGATCAAAGGCAAGTTCGAAAGTCCTTGGCTAAGTCAAACAAGGTATACAAAATATTCACTTTTTGACGATTTGAAGTTATATGGAATTACTACATCTTGTTCTTTAAAAAGGAAATCCACGACATGTCCGCTCTAGAGTTTAGAACTGGGTTACAGTAAACCGTGCCACTCGTGTCAAAACGGTTCAACCGAGTCAAAAATTTACAACTCGGGTCAAAACGGTTGAATATGTGACCTCTAACAATCTGTTACTATTGCACCGAAAACTTAACAAAATTTAACACATTATAATTGTATTGTGAATATACACCCTTTTTCTCTTACTAATTTATCAATCCCATTAATCTGGATTTAACAAAAACCGTTACAAATTTTGGAGGCTATACGGACTATCTATTGCGAAAATTTTGTTAAAAATTTCCTTTGTATAGACCTTCATTATTTTCTTTGCTAATATGTAATACTCTTTGTTCGACACGTTCCCGGGAATTCGTAGCGCACGAATGACGTTATCGTCGATAATTCAGGGGATCACAACATTCCGGGTCGGAATGCATCAGAATCCTGGCCGGATGTGCCGGAATTGATTAATTTTGTCCAATATCGATATCACTAAAAATTTTACTAATGAAGTCATAGCCCGGCTGATAATTTTGCTATAGACTGTTAGCTAACATTGCTTAATACGGCCCAGTTCCTATGCATCCGGCTCGGAATTTTGGTGTAAAAATAGAGGTTGATGCATATAGGATAACTTTCTCGTGATTGGTCGTCACATGAAATTGAATAACACGTTATTATTGGCCAATTGTGAAACAT